TGGGGGAGATATTGTCATCTCAACCATCTGAGAAAGAGGCCAACTGAAAGGCCCAGATAAACTGAACATCTGACATGAGATTGATGATCATGACTAAACTTGGCACTGACTGTGACCACAAAATCATACAAAGTATAAAAAAAACGGACGAACCATAACCAAATGCCTAAAGATCAACCTTAAAATAGGTTCTTTAAATTGTAATTGTATGTACTTTTATAGTGCCATCTGATCAAGATACTCAAAGCTCTTTACAACACAATCTGTGCCCTATCCATTCATACAAGCACTCTACTAGATCTATACAAAGAATAATCAGAGCTTTATCACATTTATACACCAATGGGACACACATCGGAGGCAATGAGGGGTTCAGTGTCTTGCCCAGGGACACTTCAGCATGTGACTGCTGGTGGAATCGAACCCCCAATTCTTACATTGGAGGACGACTGCTCTAACCACTCAGCCACAGCTTCCCATTCACCACACCATCACCTACATGTAAAGATAATACTGCTCAATCTCTTTAAGTTTAGACGAATCAAAGGCTTTTAAAAAGCCAACGGTTTTTTTTAGGTAAACTTAAAAAAAAATACAAGTTTGTGAATGTTAATCACAAATGGCACAAGTTAAGTCTGTCTTGAGCACTTGGATTTCCTTAAATGGCCTAAATCCTTCCTGATTAAACCAGATCAGCCCCTTTGGTTATACCTTAAAGACTGGTCTCAGATCAGCTCTGTATAAGCTGCATTAAATGTAACCTGCGAGGATCTATGCCCACTTTTGTTCATGTTGAGGCTGTAGTTAGATTAGTCTCGCACCAGGTGTGGGGCAGCTCTCCTAAACCAACATTCCACACCTGTCTTCCTGTTTCCTCTGAATATAAACACAGACACACAAAGCTTTCTGCAGAGCCCCACAGCAACAGGAGCCTGCCTGGATGAAAAGTAAACCACTTTGCTTCCACTTTCCTCACACGTCCATTACGTTTATCTGCTTTCTGCTTTCACGTTCAGCTTCGTCAAAGTTCCCTGCCTCCGTGCATGCACCTTACACCTCCTTCCCGCTTCTGATCCCCACCTCGTCTGTTTGTATTTTTAATGTTTTTGAAGCTTGGATGTATTCCTCACCTGCCATGGCTCAAACCGTTCCTTCTTACCAGCAGATTTTTTTTTTTCCAGTGAACTTATAAAAGCAGACTTGTGCCACTTTAACCATCATGAGTCGTGTCGGCTCAGAAGAGCTAACAAACGTGTTCTCTTTGATTTGTGTTGGAAATTCTGCATGGTAGTTCAGGGGACAACACCAGGACGAAAAGCAAACAGAACACAGTATTTGATGAGTGAATGGAAATGGAACAAAACTAAAATGTTGCCCTCTGTGACAGTGCGTGTGTCATACGGTATGTTGGGTTAGTTGATGTTGGTCTCTTACATCACTTCCATGCTCTGGCAGAAAGAGACGGATGGATTGTTTGGACAGAGCGGATGCAGTTTCTCTCTCTGTAGACCTCTGTGTAGGAAAACTGCTGGCGTGCTGCGGTGAAAGCTGCCTGCAAGCTCATCATTTCTACTCCATAAACTCTTGCACCTCTTCATATGAGTTTTACATGAAAAACATTAAAGCATTACCCCATCGGCTTTTTATGATTTGAGCTCTGACAACAGAAGAGGGACCCTTTTCAAACAGTTGTGAGTAAATTAAAGTTGCACCACAGGAGAACAACATAGTTGTGTTTTTGTGTCTAGAAGCAGAGCTTGTACAGTTATGGCATTACAGGACACAGTCTATATTTAAAAGAAAAGATGATCAACAACAGCGTGGGGCGTCTTTTTTCTAATCGTTAAGCAAAGGCCGCTTTAGCAACAAGCAGTATGCTGATGTCCCCTATCGCTGAAGGATTTGAGTAGTGAATGTTTGTAGTTTTCAAGATGAGTGTTTTTCTGGATTGGAAGTGAACTGGAAATGCAATTTTATTTTAATGTTTTTAGTGCAAGATATTAAATTTAAGTTACACAGTGGATAAGAGTTAAGAGTTGGCGACCTAATTTCTATAGGGACCATAGGGAAGTCATCATGCTCCCAGTATGATATAGGTTAGTTCCAATTCATTCAAAATTAAATGCATGTGTCTTTTAAACATTTAAGTAAGAGGATGTCTAATTTTCTTTTATGTTTTTTACAAAACATCAGAAAAGATTTTATTCATACTTCACTCAACCAAAGTGACTGAATATGTAAATTAAGTAGTTTTTTTTTGTCAGCCATTAATTAAAAAACAGCCTTTCAGCACTCAGTTAGAAAGTAACTTTTATTACAAGAAATAAATCATCTTAGAAGCTTGAGCGCATGTGGAAAACAAGGAAAATGCAAACAAGCATCGTTAGTAACATATAAAAAAGCTGTCAAACTGACAGTACTGTGTCTGTATAAATATCTGAAACTATCTTTCGAACTTGCTAATGAGGTCTTGTTCATGTCGTATTTGAATATGACTCTGCAACTTGTGCAAATTGTTACAGCTGAAATGTATTGTTGACAACACACACACCTTGCTGTGTGGGGTCCATGTGTTTACAACACTTTGGTAACAGTTTGTTTTAAATGTGCTATATGAATAAATCTGACTCGACAGGGTCATCTTTTAGAGGATCAGGAGGGATAATATGTCCATTGCTGGCTCAAATGTAAACAGGCCTAAGTTTATTAACTCCGTTTAAATGACAATTAAGAAACCTAAGAATCTTCTTACCAACAGACAACTGGAGACCATGCACTTTTTTGTAATTTATGACCGACGAACTGTTAAAAATGTGCATTAACTCTCTTTCAGATTATCAGAGGGAGCACATGAGGGTTTTTTATCAGTCTATAGATCAGAATCAGAATAAGCTTTATCATCATTGTACCGGGATATAGTGAGATTATGTTCGTACAGTCGTCTGAAAGATGGGCGGAGTGCACGTTGCTGCTGCTAAAAAGCGCGGCCCCTTAATCTTAATCAGAATACTTTTAGATAATAAATGGGTAAGAACCATAAGGATAGATAGTGGTATTACAAAAAAGATCTCTTCACATCTTGTTCTATCAGGACAAGATTGGAGACATCAAAACTCTACCAGCTGCACATTTATTAACACATTACATGCATTTGACGTCAAGACGCTGAGATTTGTCCATGAGCACTTTCAGATAGACCACAGTCCTGATGAAGTTATTTCAGCCGGTTTCAGGTGTTTTTGTGAACAAAGAAAACAAATAAATATTCAGATGGACATTATTATTTAGGCATTAGCATGAAAGACTGAAAAAATGATAGATTTGGAAAAACTGCCTCAGCTATTAAAAGACAGGGAGGAAGAAATTGAAAAATGTTATTATTTTCAACATGTTTTATAGAGTTTTATGCATCAGAACAGAACAAAAACAAAATGGTTTGTTTCAGGTTCTGAAATTATTAAAAATATTCAAATTTAGAGTCAAGTGTACTCAAACGCACACAGCCGATTCCAACATGCCATTTTTATGATATAAAGAAACAAAGCTAAAATGGAAAAGTTGTGTGTAAAAACATAGATCCAGCCCACGCCTTATAGAACCACCTTTAGCAGCAATCACATGAAGCAGCTGCTCTCTGTTTGACGTTATTAGTCTCTCGTATGGCTGTAGAGGAATTTTGGTCCACTCCTCTTTATAACAATGTTTCAGGTTTGCAGGTGTTTGTTTCTGCGCAGCTCTCTTTACATCCCACCACAGCATTTTAACCAGTTGAATCTGGACTCTGACTGGACCATTACAACACTTCTTTTCAGCCATTCTGTTGTTGATTAGCTGCTGCGTTCAATGTCATTGTCCAGTTGCACCATGCCCAGTTTAGTCCAGGCTTTCACCGTCAGACAGATGTTCTCACGTTTGACTCCAAAATACTTTGTTATACAGGAGACTCGATGGCTGCAGGGTGTCCTGGTCCTGTTGCTGCAAAACAAGCCCAAATCATCACCCCCCCACCACCGTGCTTGACAGTTGGTAGGTGTTTGTGCTGATATACTGTTTGTTTTAGAGGCAAACCTCTATACTTTGGTCTCATCTGTCTGAACAACATACATCCAGAGGTGTTGTGGTTCATTCAGAAGCAACTTTATGAACTCAGATTCTGCTGCTATTTTATAAAAAGCCCTTTTTAAAGAAAGAAAAGTCTTTCTCCAGCAGCCCTTTCAAATAAGACGTAGATGCTTTGTTTTTCTAATTGTCCTGTCATGAACTTTTCAGTTAACCTGCCAAGTGAGGCCAGTAATATATGAGAAGTTCCTTGTTGTTTGTTTTTCCCAAAGTGTCAGTAACTGGTAATTAAAATATCCCTTTTTCTATGCCATAGACTGTTTTTATTTTCAAAACCTACAGATGAAAGTAAGTGAATTCTTCTTTTTTTTACCCTCGCAGTAATTTATCTATGGAGTTCTTGTCTAGTCATTTTGTTTAAGTAGGGGAGGAAATGTTCTTCATGGCTTCTACTCTTTAATGTAGCAGCTGAGTAAATTTATTTTACTCTTCACAAAGCAGCAGCCAGACAAAGATATGCGTTTGAAAACTCCTTTAAAGCATCAAAAATATAATTTTCGCTCAAACATAAATAAATAAACACCTCAAAGCCGGGTCCCCTTTGAAATGTAGTAATTCTACATTTTTATGAATGACTGCATTCATGTTGGCCACGCCCCTGTGCTCAAACTCCAGTTTTTGGTGTTTAGCTCCCCAGCCCCGCCTTTTTCCTTATTTGGACGCGCGCCTGCGTTCTGATTGGCTGAAGGAGTTCAGAAGGAGGCGTGACTTCCAGGCAACGCACGAGGCTGATATAAAAACAAGTCTCGAGCGCAGATAGTGTCGAAGTACAGATGTAGCTCGTCGTGGGTCTGGATTTAATCCTTGTGGATTTTAAAAAAACGGTCGCTGAGGATTATTTTTCTGTGAAATAACCACTTTTATCCTCTTCCATGTGAACCAGCTAACAGCGACATGGGGCTGCTGTTTTTATTCACTATTTTAGGAGTGACGTCAGTCCAGTTGGTGAGTAATTTACTGTCTGTCACGATTTTGTTTCATGTAAACACTAAACACCTCACATAACTTTCTGTTGCCAGGCCTAAGCTGCAGCCATTTGTCAACAAATGCTTTGATTTTCCGGACGTGACGTCGTAATTAGTATTTTACGACAAAATAACGAGCCAATAAAGACTACTGAGTGTTTAGTGTTTTAATTTTAACACTGTTTAATCACGTAGCTGCTTCAAAGTGGGGCTTGTGGACCACGAGCCTCCAGGGCTTGCATTCATATTATGAATGCATTATCATTACAACCATATATATCTTACATGGTCAGCATATATTTTTATGTAAAATGCTGCACTGTGATGAGAGCACTGCTTAATCCTAAAGTTCAAGCACTTCTATGTGTTATTATAAATGACATTTGACTGATAATAATAGATCACAGAACCTGTTTTAATTGAGAATCCCACAGTTTAAACACTTTTCTAAATCTGAATGATCTGGTCCAGTGGTTCCCAAAGTTGGGATTGGGACACTTCTGGTTGTGAAATATCAATTTAATCTATTCTAAAAAAATAAAAAAAAATCTAATTACTTGAGCAAATATCATGTGCACTCTCAACTGTTATGAAGAGATAAATGTATATATGTAATAGGATAAGGTTCCTTTTGTAAATGGCTCATGAACACTTTTGCAAACTTAAAGCAGCAGGTCAAGAGTTTCTGGCTTTTATTTTGTGGTTTGAAAAATAAAAAATTTGGGCATCAGCAATCTTAATTACACAAAAAGTATGTGTTGGTGCTGCTTGTTTTGGATTTTCTGTCGTTATGGGTTCTTTGTGGGAGGGTTTTTGAGAGAGACTTTTTCTACATGGCTTCTGTCCTACTGTAGCTCTATAATTATGCTACAGTAATATTACCCAACAGTAATACCAATGCAGATAAAAATACCCGTCAGGCCAATATGAGCTTGCTGCACTTTACAAAAATCTTCACAGATATTATGTAACTTCAGCTGATTTCTTCGTTGCACCTATTGTGCACAGCTATTTTGCCAAAAGCAGGAAATTGCCTTTAATAATTCGGAAGAGTTAAGAGCTTGAGCGATCAGGTTTTACAGAGCAGCCATGTCAGGATGGTGTGATCTGACTGACCATCAGACTGACAACTCCTTGTGATCTCAGTACCAACTGGGAGCTGTTTGGTTGGCTTGTGCTCGTAAATTGCGTGCACAGAAACAGATGGGGTTAGACAGAAAAGATGAAGGGTCAGGGAACATCTCTTTCATCCCCGCAGGCCGGATAAATGCCAAGCGGAAGGCGACAGAGGGTTACAGATACCCCTGTGGGACTCGTGACAGCATTGACTATTCAAGCGATGGTTAAGCCACACACACCCTCAGGAATGTCTGTGATCTGAGAAACATGAGTCCAGCTTTTGTCCCGCTTGGTCCCAGAATGACTTCTCATTTCTGCGGTAAGTTGGTCTGCAGATGCTTCTGTTAAATAAAATGTGTCCTCCTTCTCCCACAGGTGACAGCTGACTGTCCGGCGGTGTGCGAATGCCCGGCAGTGCCCCCATCCTGTCCGCCTGGAATAAGTTCAGTCCCTGACGGCTGCGGCTGCTGCAAGGTGTGCGCTGCGCAGTTGAACCAAGACTGCCACGAGGAACGCCCGTGTGACCACCATAAAGGACTGGAGTGCAACTACGGCAACGATGTGAGCCGAGCCCATGGCATCTGCAGGGGTACGTACCATTGAGGTTGACGGGAAGATTGAGTGTTTTTGGTTTAGACTGGGCACAAGTCTAGGTTGAGTGAGGCAATGTGTAACTTCAGGGTGGGGGATCCTGACTTTCGGGCCAAGCGGCTGGAGTCTCTCTTTGATAGAAGGGCTTGAGGTTTGGAGACTGTGCCACATTTAAAGAACAGAGGACCTTCATGAGCTGTGACTGAAACCTGGCCAGCTTTGAGATTTTATGTAAGAAGTCTAGTGTGTACACAAACAACCCCATGAAACACACAAACACACACAGTTATATTTATATGTGTTTATTGGGAGGTATTTTATGGGGAGTCCCACTGAAGAAGTGGGGGAGAACAACACTATATAGTCAAAAATCATTTCTGCTCTAATAAAACCTTTTATAATTTTAGGGATTGTTTCTCCTGAAGTGTCCTAGAATAGCAGATTCACAATTTATTTTGGGGAAGTCTTGTTAGACTAAAAAAAGGTCATCTGGACAAGTTTCTTTAAGGGAGAAACGTTTCTTCTTTCATCTGAAAGACTTCTTCAGTCTGAGGCCTGCTAACCCAGATCTGTCCCATAAATAGTACCCCCTTGATGTGTTTCAAGCCAACCCTCTGTGGGATCCAAAGAAACTAACATTACACACACAAAAAAGGAGACCATCCGTCCTAAACAATCAATCATCATGCATATCAATCAAACGTTTTAGGCCAGATGGCCAGCGTGCTACTCACAGAAACAGCCTGAGGAACACCAAGACCAAAATTTTTCAGAAAAAAGCTTTGTAAGCTCAATCATCCAGGTAGATGACAACAAAAAGGTTTAAATTGTGTCTTGTTAGATCCTATTTATGCACCTTAAAGTTTATCAATGCTTATAAGTTTCTCTTCATCAAACATTACTCCAACACATTTTAGACTAATTCAGTCTGAGTTTTGGTCTGCCTCCCCCACTGCCACCCCCAAAAAAGTTCAGTCTCTTAGGTTGTTTTCACACCAGATAGTCCAGTAGACTCGGTTCGGGACCAATATTCATGACCTTTTGTTTACATTTGAGCTGGTGCGTTTGCATTCACACTGCACTGTGCAGTCGAGCCAACCTGTTGAATCAACCTATTCCCCCACTCACCTCTGGTGGCACTGCACCAAGAACTACTGAAAGAAACAATACAAAAACCTCTGAAGACACTTCTTCTTCTGGAAATAAAAACAAAAACGGAGTGGTGTCAAATTTCAACGCTTTTAGGAGTTCTGTTTTGTCATTTTTCAACAATGGACTCAGCATGAGCAGAAGATGAGACAGAAGACCCTGGAGAATGTTGTTTTTCCCACAAGGCAGCTGACGGCTCCATATGAGGTCAGAGAAATGCGTGTTTGTTTGCCCTGTGCTATAATCCTCTTCCTGTTTGCGGAGCGGTGCCCGGTCTGTTTACATTCACACTGTACTGGAACCGCGCTGGAGTTTTCTTCTATCGGACCAAGACCTAGGTTCTAGACCGGGCCAGAGTTCGCCTTTTTGTTCTATGATAGAGTTCAATGGCACGTTCACACCTCCCCAAACGGGCTAGAGTTCGGGACAACAGGGCTGGTGTGAATGCACCCACCAGCCCTGTTTAGACATACTTAATCAAACTTTTGTCCATTTGCCTAGAAAGTCCGATTCGTTTGGGGTGTGTGTGAATGCGCAATCGAACTCTGATGCGGACCAAAAAAGTGATCTCTGGTCTGCCTAAAACCTAGGTCTTGGTTTGGTTGAAGTGAACTCTGGCACGTTTCGAATGCAGTGGGAATGCAAGCGGACTGGAGACCGCTCCAAAAGCAGGAAGTGGACTACAGTGCAGGGCAAACACATTTCTCTGACCTCATATGGAGCCGTCAGCTGCCTTGTGTGGAAAAACAACATTCTCCATGGTCTTCTGCCTCATCTTCTGCTCATGCTGAGTCCATTGTTGAAAAATGACAAAGCAGAACTCCTAAAACTGCTAAAATTTGTTACGCCACTCTGTTTTTGTTTTAATTTCCAGAAGAAGAAGAAGAAGCGTCTACTTCAGAGGTTTTTGTGTAATTTCCTTCAGTAGTTCTTGGTGCATTGCCACCACAGGTGAGGGGGGGACATGTTGGCTTGATTGACTCAGTGCAGTGTGAATGCAAACTGCACCAGCCGAAAATGTAAACAAATGTTCTGAATATTGGTCCCCAATCAAACCGAGTCTACCAGACTATCAGGTGTGAAAACACCCTTAAACACCAAACCGTCATCAAGTACTAATTGTGATAAAGGGTACTGATGTCAGGATTGGTATACATAAAAAGAAAACTTATAAATACTCACCAAAGACCACCATCTTGTATAACCAGCTACCAGCTAGGATCTAAAATTATTGCTTGACCAAAAAGACTTTATTTGGTTCATAAGTGGGCATGTGCAATTCTAGTCGTTTATCCATTCTTTGCACCTTCTTCTTCCTGTTCAGAGCCACACAGAATGGTGCTTATCTCTAGTAATCAATGGGTGAGAGGCAGCGGTAAACCCTGGACAGGTTTCCAGTCAATCGCAATGTTTATGTTCATAGAGAAAAACAAAGAGGTATATGCTTTACTGATGGGGAAGGCAAGGGTGACAGATGTTCAGCCAAAGTTCCTGACATATCCAACACCCACCCATTGTTGGCTTGGTGTGTAAGAAGCCTAACTCACTTTGTCTTTATACAAAGTACTTAAAATAGCTAAATAAAACACTGAAGGAAAAAGGGCAATCCAAAAATCACAAGTTCTTTGAAAATAGATTGATCTGCTAAGCTGCACATTTTGACCAACTTTTTCATTTTCATTTCTCCATCATTGCAGCAAAGGCAGAGGGTCGCTCCTGCGAGTACAACGGCCGAATTTATCAGAACGGTGAGAACTTCCAAGCTGGCTGCAAGCACCAGTGTACCTGCATCAATGGAGCTGTTGGATGTGTGCCTCTTTGTCCCAGCCACGTGCCCTTAGCTTCCCCTTCCTGTCCGACCCCGCAACTCGTCAAAGTGCCAGGCCAGTGCTGTCTCAGTGTTGACTGCCATAAGGGAACCCCTGCTGTACCCCCAGCTCATCATTGGCCACCTTACCCCTTCATGCCTTACCCGGCCTATCCCTACTCCAAGCCTTATCCAAAACCTTACCGTAAGTTGTACCCTTACAAACCCAAAAAGGACAAGGGTACCTTGGGCAACGAACTTTTGGAATTTGAGCACCAATGGGACAAGCCACATGGAAACAAACACCTGACGGGTAAGAGAGAGTGCCGCCTTGTTGACTCAGACTGCTGTCTCTTTCCTCTGCGCAGTCAAGCATCTTGTTTATGTTTTAGCCATTTTAGCCCCTTGACGCACAAACAGCCTCAATGTGGGCCTTTTCCTCAGCATCTGTGCGGGTGTGTTGGGTGTTTGTGTGAGGCTTGTTTTCCACTGACTCCTTGCACACCAGATGAGCTCTCTCCCTCTCGCACAGCACATACCTCTGTCACGCCTTTCTCCCCTCGATGTAATCACCTTCTCTATGTGTCAGTGTTGCCTGTTCAGTGAATGAGGCTAGTGTGCCTTTCATCCACGTATGTCTGCTTTTCCCTCCCACCCCTGATGGCTACTTTTCTTCCACTTTAACTTTTGCTGAGCCTGCTTCTCCTTCCTTTGCTCTCCATATTTTGTAATGCTCGTTGTGGTTCTTCCTCACATGTCCTCTCTGTTGTCTCTCCTAGCCTGGGATAAGTTAGGAGTCCACTGCGTAGTTCAAACCACTTCCTGGTCCGAGTGTTCCCGAAGCTGTGGAATGGGCATTTCCTCTCGGGTCACCAACAACAACGCCCGGTGTAAGATGATGAAGGAGACTCGGCTGTGCAACATTCGGCCATGCAGCTCCATGTCTATCCCCGTTAAGGTGAGAAATGTGGGATGAAGCATTAAGAACGTACAAAGTTATATTCTGTGAAACTCTCTGAAGCTCAAGCACTACGCTAATTGGATTCAGGAAAATAATTGCCCTTATTTCTCTGTAGTTGAAGCAGCATTTTGGTGTATTTAAATTATTTTGCTGCTGAAGGAGTAATCTCGGAAGAATAAGCACGGGCCTATTTGGGAACTAGAATTCCCCGTATAACTTCAAGCTATGATTGTCACATTGTGAAGAAGTACATATCATAATTAAAATTGTTGAACTACACCATCCCTGTAGCTTCAAAGACTAAAAACTAGCTGAACTTGTGTCAGTAGCAGGAAAGTTCCTATAGCTGGTCCAAAAACTTACAGTTTAACAAGACGGAACATGCCGTGTAACCTAAGAAGACCCATTCGCCGATTAAAGGAATTGTTTTATTTCTTAGCTGTGAGCAGCCTGGTCGTATCGTCATTTGCCTGTAGAGCTAGAACAGTGAGGATCACAGCTGTCCTCTAGTAAATGAAGGGTCCAGCCGCTCCGCTGCCCTCTCACATTTCAAACACAACACTCTCCGAAATGTTCTGCTTCTCACTCGTGGACCCGATAAGCTGTTGTGCACCTGTTTTTACCGCGCTCTCAACGTGTTTGTCGAGGTGGCATGGGTGTTAATGTGTATCCGTGTCAGTCATCAGAAGTTTTGTTAGCATCTCTTATTCTGACATTTTGTTTTTGTGTCTTTTTGTAGTTAGCTGACAACTTGTTTTTCTGTCTCGGTGATGTACGACTGCTTTGATTTCAAGCAAATGTAGGAAAGTCGAACCATTTTTCTGTGTGTAGCACCTTCAGGCTTTATAGGATCACTCACTCTGTCAGAACGATAAAATATCTCCACGTTTTGGATGGATGACAAACTAACTTTTGTGTAGCTATTAATGTGATTAGTAGACAATATCAATGTTTGGGATTTCCTGCTTTATTTTTTAAGTGATAGTTCAGAGATTTTGAGGTTGGGTTCAGTGGAATGATTTTGTAAATAGTTCTCTGCACAGTCAGTTTTGAAGAAATAAAATTAATTTCTAATCGGATTGACAAACTAATATCTAGTCCACATCAGGCCAGGACCATGATCATAGTTGACTGATGCTGTCCATGTGAACACTGATTAAACATTATGTTGATGACCCGTTGCTGAGGGATTTGAGTAGTGAATGTTTTTAGTTTCTGAGATGAACTGAAATTGAACAGGGAATGCAGTTAAAGCCTTTTGGTGCAAGATGTTCAAGTGGGTAAGAGTTTCTTTTTAAAATTTCTTTAGCTTATCTGAGGTAGCGCAGAGTGACAGATCATGGCGAGTGGAGAGAGCAGTTCTATCCACCAGGCACAATGTTTAAAGTCAGAGGGTGACCAGTGGGGGTGCTGGCCATCATAAATAAATGTTTGGCCACCTTAAAGGGCCCGGCATGCTCCATCTGAAGCCAAACTTGCGATAACATGGTTGCAGGATGTTCGTTTTCACGCACACCTTTCATAGTCCACGATGCAGAGCTCTTAGGAACCCCCTCCAGCTGCAGTAAACATCATTGTGCAGGTTTCTTCCTGCCAGAGTCTCCACTCTGTCCCTGCATCAGAAGTTTGGCCACAAATCTATCATGAAGCGAGCACCACACTTTTCAGCTGACGGACTCCTTCATGTCTGCACCGTCTTCATCCAGGTTTTGTGCATTTGACTAATTTAGTGTTTGAAGAGTCGTACAGCTGAATATGTGAAACACGCCCACACACTGCTGACCAATCACGCAATACTAAGTTGGCGCGTACTCCTGTGAGAAAAAGTTTGGCCAGGGCTTTGTGTTAAGAAGCGAAGCTGCTCTGAGAACAAAATGACGTGATTTTCATTACACAACTTCGGCAGTGAGAGATGATTTTGCTTCTTCAGATGGAATATACAAGACGCTTAAGGGTCATCCCAATTATTTTTGGAAACTATACTGTTCAACAATATCAAAACTAGAAAGCATAGTTTCCTCAAATAATTAGGGTGGTCGTTTTACATGAATGACAGTGGCCATCTTGGATTTTGACATGGCAACCCAATTTTCAAAAGGAAACTTTCTAGATTTAGCCACACGAAAATGGAAGTCAGTACCACACTTATTTTTCCAAGCCATCATGCTCACAATATAGACAGACTGATATTACCAGACTTTATTTTGCTCATTATTTAACTTCATTCCCATCAAATTTACTTTGTACTTACTGCCATCTTAGAGCACCATTGAGACAGCCTCAATTAAATGCTTCTATAACTGTAAAAAAAAAAAAAAATGTTCTCAACTTTTGTTCAATAACTACCGGTAATAGCTTTTCGTTTTTCTGTGTCCACAGAAAGGAAGGAAGTGCTCTCGTACCCACAAGGCCCCAGAGCCGCACCGTTTGTCCTATTCTGGCTGCAGGAGCACCCGCCTGTACAGGCCCAACTACTGCGGAGTCTGCCAGGACGGCCGTTGCTGCTCCCCCCGTCGTGCACGCACAGCCACAGTGACCTTTGTCTGCCCCCATGGAGATCACTTCAGCAGGTCTGTGATGTTCATCCAGTCCTGCAAGTGCAGCGACGAGTGCAACCACCTCAACGAGGCGGCCATGCCGCCCCAGCAGTGGCTCTATGGAGATACGCACAAGTTCAACGACTAGCCCCATTACCCGCACCTTACCTACATTCCTCCATGAAAAGTACAAAATATCCCCTCGGTAGCAGTGCCAATTTTAGAGTAGCCGGCTTGTGTGCCGTCAAGCAGAAGGGAGCAGACGTCACATCTCAGAACAGCTTTTCAAGAAGAATATTTGGGAAAATAATCGGAAAAGGCAGCTAAAATCACAAGAGCAACCATCTAGTAAGAGCTTCCCCTGCTTTAGAGTAGATCGTTGTGTTTTGGTCTGACCGGACTTCAAATTGTGACCAAATCTTTCTGTAAGATTTGGACGCAGTCATTCATCGGTTTTTTGCCATGCTCCAAAATATTCCATGAACTCTGGGACTTCTGGGAAACGATGGAGAGACAAAAACTCACCCACGGAGGACGGTGTCTTGTATTCTTCTTCTGTGAACGTAACACTTGCTGAGGGATAGATGCTACTAGCTGATAGAAAACTGGTTTTGTAACAAACCAGCTGGAAGCGTAGATGAGAATTGAGAACGGAAAACCGGCAACGAGGATTCTTGTAGAGGACTTGACAAGAACGGGATGCTGTTGGGCAAAGTTGACTTTTTATATTTATTTGCTGATATTTATTGTTCAGACACCGTGCCTTGCTACAGGATACGTTGGTTTTGCTGCAGCATGTTTGGATTTGAACAAGGATCTGAGAGGGTCGAATCGCAGCGGAAAACTGGAGGAGACATTTCCCTCTGATCTGGAACACGTCTAACGTTAGACGTGAAGAATACAGAAGAAAGACTGAGTTGAACTTCGACGGGTTGAGGATTTCTGACAAACCCAGAAGGAAAATGTCAAAAAGCTGGACTCGTCTCCTGCTCGGCCTTAACGACTTTCATCAAGCACCAGAACGCTTGAGACACTGGCGTCAAGCAGTCGACCACCTAATTCTGTGCAAATTACATTCTCCGAGACGCGGCAAGAGCGAATTAGCCCCCCTCTTGGCGCTGCTGTAAAAATAAGATCTGAAAACTGCGTGTGATGAGGTAAACATGTAATTTGTGAGCTGGTGGGTGGAGCAGTTTTAGAGCCTTAATCTGGCCTGTAATCGAGCGGCACGGCACCGAAACAAAACAACGCGTCGAGTCTTTTCACGTTGAAGCGGCGTCTGTTCCCGAAAAGCGCTGACTTGACCGTCGAGGCAGAGAAAAGCCTTCTGTTTTGACTAGAGTCAACACAGTTTGTAAGAATTTAGCTGCAAGTGTAGGCTCTGTTTTCTGTGCCTTAGATGATGGATTATGACGAAAAGCCAAGCATCTTCTAACTGCTTGGATTAGTTAGAGCACCTTTGAAACCTTCAGAACGATTCACTTCCCCAAAAACCTGAACTTTACAGGTAATACGTGCTTTAGGTGTTTGATATTTGGAGATGCTGTGGTTTTGAGTTGTAAGGGTCATTATAGAGCAGCTATGTACAGGTCAATGTGTAGCTTCTTTGTTCTGCTGTATTTTAATTACTCTGAGCTCAGGTTCAGATCCTGCATTAGCATCGTGCCAGTTTGAAAGTATGATTGTTGGTGTTAGTTTATGCTATAGAACAGAAACCATGACTGGAAAATATTTTAAAAAGATGGATGAGGCTGAAAGCCGTTTCTCAGTCTTTTTGGTTGTTGGTTATTTTACGTGCAACTGGTTTTTGGTGTTGAAATGTTTGTTTTTTCATATTCTGAATAAAGAAAGTTTCACTCTCACTGTGTTGAACGTTTTTCAAAAGACTTTTCCTGTCACAGACCACAACTCCTCTCAGCTAAAAACAAGCTTCAACCAGCTAACTTGTGTAATGTTTTATCAATACGTTAAAGATGCCGGTACCAAACTCAAGAAATGTTACAGGGAGAAATTTCAACATCAACTTTCAGAATTTGAGTCTTCCTTTGTTACCAATTACCAATGCAGACTTTTTAAGTATAAATTGTGTAAACAAGAAATAAATGAAACGTTAGTGTTGCCTGTGGCTCGTTAGCGTCACCATGGTAACCACACCCGTCTTTCACTCTGACAACGCTCTAAATAAGAAGAGAAGGCAGTAAACCTCAAATGCTGGAAGAGCAGTCGTATAAAATAGAAAATCTGACACCTTCCATACTCAGGTTTGAAGAGAAAACTTTAAACTCATATACAGTGACAGTAAAAATTTGAATGTGTACACTCAGAGGATAAAAAAATAAGTCCTACAGCAGTGAGATGTACTTGATGAAAGAAATGTCTACATTTTGATGTACAGGTTCTGGTCATAAAATTAGAATATGAAAAAGTTTATTTCAGTAATTCCATTCAAAAAGTGCAACTTGTATATTATATTCATTCATTACACACACACTGATATATTTAAAATATTTTAATGTTGATTATAACCGACAACTAATGAAAACCACAAATTCAGTATCTCAGAAAATTAGAATATTGTGAAAAGCTTCAGTATTGAAGACACCTGGTGCCACACTCTAATTAGTTAATTAACTCAAAACACCTGCAAAGGCCTTTAAATGGTTTCTCAGTCTAGTTCTGTAGCTACACAGTCAAGGGGAAGACTGCTGACTTGACAGTTGTCCAAAAAACAACTATTGACACTTTGCACGAGGAGGGCAAGACACAAAAGGTCATTGCTAAAGAGGCTGGCTGTTCATAGAGCTCTGTGTCCAAGCACATTAAGAGAGGTGAAGAGAAGGAAACAATGTGGTAAAAAAAGTGTACAAGCACTAGGGATAACTGCACCCTGGAGATTGTGAAACAAAACCCATTCCAAACTGTGGGGGAGATTCACAAATAGTGGACTGCAGCTGGAGTCAGTGCTTCAAGAACCACCACGCTCAGATGTATGCAAGACAAGGGGTTCAGCTGTCACATTCCTTGTCAAGTCACTCTTGAACAAGAGACGGCGTCAGAAGTTTCTCACCTGGGACTGCTGCTGAGTGGTCCAAAGTTATGTTCTCTGATGAAAGTAAATTTTTCAATTCTTTTGGAAGTCAAGGTCCCAGAGTCTGGAGGAAGAGAGGAGAGGCACATAATCCATGTTGCTTGAGGTCCAGTGTCAAGTTTCCAGTGATGGTTTGGGGGGGCCATGCCATCTGTTGGAGTTGGTCCACTGTTTTTTCTGAGGTCCAAGGTCAATGCAGTCGTCCACCAGAGTTTTAGAGCACTTCCTGCTGCTGACCAACTTTATGGAGATGCAGATTTCATTTTCCAACTGGACTTGGCACCTGCACACAGTGCCAAAGTTACCAGTACCTAGTGTAAGGACCATGGTATCCCTGTTCTTAACTGGCCAGCAAACTCACCTGACCTTAACCCCATAGAAAATCTATGGCATATTGTGAAGAGGAAGATGTGATACACCAGACCCAACAATTCAGAAGAGCTGAAGGCCACTATCAGAGGAACCTGGACTCTCAGAACACCTGAGCAGTGACAGACTGATCGACTCCATGCCACGCCACATTGCTGCAGTAATCCAGGCAAAAAGGAGCAACAACTAAGTATTGAGTACTGTATATGTTTATACTTTTCATCTTCATACTTTAAAGATGGCCGACATTTCTAAAAATCCTTAAAAAAATAAAATTTGTCTTAATTTCTAATTTTCTGACTGAATTTGGGGTTTTCATTAGTTGTCAGTTATAATCATCAACACCAAAAGAAATAAACATTTGAAATACATCAGGCTGTGTGTAATGAATGAATATACAAGTTTCACTTTTTGAATGAAATTACTGAATCAACTTTTTCACGATATTCTAATTTTATGACCAGCTCCTGTATAAACAGTAAATCCTCCACAATCATGTGAAAAATGTTTCAGTATTGATATTTTGTAAATATCAATAATTATCCAGCTACCAAATTATGTGATGAATTGTTTTTTCTTCCCTAATAAAACAGGAAAAGCAACGGCTCTTAAAACCAAGACTGAATTGGCAAATGATTACTGGTAGTAATGGCGTTTCTGATGCATTGGCACCTGTAAATCAGTTTCAGGGCCATAAATCCGTGTAACAAATCAAAATTGATGCAATAAAAACTCTTTAAACCCTCAAGTTTCATGCCTGCCAATGTCTTCAGAGCCTTGCTCGTCGTCTACAGCACCACAAGTTATAACATTTTGAAGCTTGATGTTTTAATTTGAACTCTTTACTGATTTATTTTCAGTTATGAACACCAAAATACCAAGAGATACATCGCAAGAGTCACATTTTTTGTACAGTGTCTTAATGTCATGTCGCTTAACCAAAAATTACCACTAAGAATCTACTTTATCAGTATAGAAGGCATTCCTGTAGAAATTTGTTTTAAAAAAGCTGCCACAAGTAAAATTTCTGAAACTCCACTGTCTGGTCAAGCTCTTTTTAAACTTGGAGAAAAAAAAAAAACTACCTTGCTACACAATATAATAATAAAAAAAAACAACTCCAAACTGCTAAAGTATCTGTGATGATCTACTCTGATGTTTCCCTGAAGCTCTGCTCTACATGGGAATAAACGAAAACAGGGCGGAGACAAACGTCTCGTCAAGAGACCACAATGATAAAAAAAAAATGGCATTTTATAAAAAGTTTTAATTAGGCAAAAACAAACCATAAAAGACAAATTAAAATCACACTCCCATCCCAACAAACTGACAATAAAAATAAATGTTTTTGTGAACAAAACGTGCCGAGTTTTAAATGAACGATGAGCAGGTCAACTTCCAGAAACGGAGACGAATCCACGGAGAGGAGACTTCAGTTTGGTTGAAGGACTCATCTGGACTGTTCGACTGAGGGGGAGACGAGAAGGGGGACGTTAGCTGAGCAGAGATCTGTGCAAGAACAGCTGAACATACCAGCTTTTCACCAGCAGGTTAAACATGTGCGGGGGCTTAACGAGAGCCCCAGAGCCACAACTGTTGCCATAATAATTATCAGTAGAAAGACCTCAAGCCCTGCTCAGAATTAACTGTACGCTTCGTATTCAAGCGCTTTATGCATCTTAAATCCACTCCAGTCGTTCCTACACATCGGACCAGCTGAACGTCGCATTCAGGAGGCGTTTCAAAACTCACTGTAAGATGAGATGTCGATCTCATCCGGCAGCTCGGCCACGTTGACTTCAAAGCGATCCTGCACATCGTTCAGAATCTTGGCGTCCGTCTCGTCGGACACGAAGGTTATAGCCAGGCCTTTGGTCCCAAACCTACCAGCACGGGCAACCTGGAGAACCCAAGGTCAGATCCAGTTAAAGCTTAAACATCTGTCACCAACAAACAGCTACAAATACACTCGTTTCCTTCTGCAGCGTCGCTCACCCTGTGCAAATAGGTGTCGGAATCTTCTGGCATGTCGTAGTTAAAGACGATATTCACTCTCTCTATGTCCATCCCTCGGCCGAACAGGTTCGTCGCCACCAAGATTCGCCGCTGGAAGTCCTTGAATTGTTGATAGCGAGACAGCCTGCAGGACGGTAGGACAGCGTCAGCAGAGTTATCATGGACACAGCTGCTGAAGACATCACAGGCCTGAGCCCCGCTCCGAGGAGACCGTAAACACAGCCAGTCGAGCCCAGCCAAGATACGGGTGCGAGCGTCTCACCTTTCCTCCTGAGTCATGCCTCTGTGGATGGCAATAGCAGGAAAATTTTGTTCCACGAGGAGCTGAGAGAGAGCGACGCATCGCTGGACCGTCTTGACAAAGATCACCACCTGCAGGCGAAACAGAGGAGCTGACACACGACGCCTCCACCGAGTTTACCACCTGCTGACCGTCGTAGTACGACATGACAACCATCACCTCCGAACTAAAAACAAGGACGAGCCTCTGTTCACCATCTTTTAGCTAAAAAGGACATTCGGTCTTTTAACTAATTGGGTGCTTTCACGAGTCAAACAACTTTTAGTAAAAGAGCGAAATCACACATCGAGGCAAACGTGTGCGAGACCCTTTAAAGATACACAACTAGTATTTAATACTGCATGATTAAGTATTTTTTTTTTGGAATTTGTTTTATTTTACCTAAAAAAATGTTCTATGCAATAATCCCACCATCATTTCTTTAAAATTTGTTTTATAAATTCCTAACACCACAAAAAGCAAATCTGAGTAAATTTATCTCGTCGTCTTCATACACGACCCTGTATGTGCTCATCTACTGAAACTTATAAGTAGGGGTGCACCGAGAAATCGGCCGGCTGATTTATCAGCCCCGATTTCCTTAATTTTGGGAGATCGACCGATCCGTGCACGAGAAACCGATTTTACAGATTTTTGTAGTTTTCACAACAATTGTCTGAACTTCACTTATATTTCAGAGCACTACCTCAAGACCAGTTAAAACAAGTCTGTATTGTTTCTAAGATATTGTTCATGGGTATGTTTTTCAACAAAATAATATTGGAAAACTGAAGGTGCGTTGTGACCTTATAACTCCTGACTGTCGCTTATAAAACTAAATCGGAATCGGCAGCTCAGACTTTTTAGAAATCTGTGATCGGCCAGAAAACTGCAGTCGGTGCACCTCTAATTATAACGTCTTACAAACAGTACCAGTAACTGAACACTCACTCAAAAATCACTTTAACTGGTGATATGTGACTCATCTGTGCTGCTGATCTCATGCTGCTGTCTTCATTCATACCCATCTACTCACACAGACTCATGTTCGGGCTGCTGTTTAATACACCACATTTCATACACTGCATTTTCATTATTAGTCTTTAGTGTACATCTAAATCTTGTAACGTACCGATTGGTGTTTTAGTGTATATCTTAAGTGTACATTTGAGATCCTTTTACTGTTTCTTTTTATACTTTTTATTTTCTAGTGTTGGAAGTAACTGGGACCTTGAGTACATAATTTCATTCCACCTCATGTACCGCGTGACGTGAATGACAAACTTGACCTGAACTTAATTAAGGCACATACAAAGATGGTTCTGCAGTTCATTATTCTCATTTCCAGAAGCTACCGATAACTAAAGGCAGACATCACTTACTGTGGCCATATTTCATGTTATTAATAAATTATTAGTCTCTCAATTGTTTCTCGTGATGTTTACGGTGCTTGTTCACTTTTTTTTTTATATCAGATTTTTTTCTTTAGAAACTGCAGGTCTGTAAACACCAACGTGTTTCCATTATTTTTATTCAAAACTGAAGGAACTCAACGCTGGACGAGGCGTTCTACAAACTGAACTGATCCCAACGTTTAACTTGAGACCAAACAAACAGCGACAACACTAAAATGCATCTAAAAATAAATAAACTACCTGATTGAACTCTAGCACATCAAGAAGGTCAAAGAGCTTGCGGTTCTTCTCGCTGTCCTTCAGCTTGCAGTAGTACTGCTGCAGACCGTGGAGTGTCAGTTTGGTCTCGTCGTCCACAAACACCTCCATAGGCTGCGAGGGAGAAACCAGTTTAACCAGCAGGTTATAGAACGAGCGTCTAAATGAGACGTGTGGGAGCTGGTCGTCCACTTACATCCTGCATGAACTTGCGGCACACTGGCCGGATCTCCTTACTCAGGGTTGCGCTGAACATCATGACCTGCTTCTCGTGGGGCGTCATCCTGAAGATGTCCTGCACGTCGCACCTCATGTCTGCACACAAACCAACACGGACCATCAGCCCTCTGAGGCCACTGGGCAAGTGATCAGAATCAAACGGGAACACACACCTAGCTGCTCCAGCATCTTGTCGCACTCGTCCAGGACAAAATGCTTCACGTTTTTCAGACTCAGGGTCTTGTTGCGTATCAGAGCGAGCATTCGACCCGGCGTCCCCACCACAATGTGAGGGCAGTTCTTTTTCAGGGTGTCCTCGTCCTTCTTGATGGGCATGCCGCCGAAGAACACGGCTGCCTTCACAGCGGGCATGTACTTGGAGAAACGCTCGTACTCCTTGCTGATTTGGAAGGCCAGCTCTCGCGTGTGGCACATGACTAATACAGACACCTGGGGAGGGGCAAGAAGAGCTCCCAGTTTCAATAATCATAAAAAGCAGCATCATTATAACTAGACTTAACATGACTTTAGGCTGATATTTATATATATTTATGCAAAGTATTGTAAAAACAGAACCTACAGCTACGATTAAACAGAAAATACAAACAAGACATGCGTTTCAAAAGGTTGTTTATGATCAGAGGGTTTTTTCTTTACTGTTCAGGATTTGCAAGACAAAAATAAACACCAACCTGCCCGTCGACCGGTTCGATCTGTTGCAGTGTGGCCAACACAAACACAGCCGTCTTGCCCATACCAGACTTGGCTTGACACAGGATGTCCATACCAAGGATGGCCTGTGGGATGCATTCATGCTGAACTGAAAGACAAACACAAACACCATATTCAAACAAATTTCTACCAACTTCTGAACACTGCAGTGGCTACTAATACTAATAATAATAACAACAATAATAATAATCAGAAGAGCTGACGTTAGCCACACTTCAGCACGTCCATTTGAAATACTCCCCAGGAGGAGCTGGAAGTTTATTGTGGGGCTGCATGCGTGGCACCACATATTTCTTTAGAACTGATGAGTTTACGCACATTTTAGGTGAAGTGCTGCCAGAACGCAGTAGGAATGTTTACATGCGCAAAATGTTTTGACTGGATTGAAATGTTTTCAGATTAAATAATTCAAATGTATCGTTTACACTGACAGTCCGCTTGTTGCACTGAACTGGCTGCACTATTATTTCTCTCTCCCTTGGTCCTATTGTCCTTTCACCTTTAGACATGCCCTGAGCACACCTGTCTCAGACTCACTTGAGTGATTGTGGTCTTGTTTATGAAGATGACTGTTCTCCCTGCACTGAGAGCAGCAGCTACATCCACCCTTCTGTCCTATAGAAGCCATTAAAGTAAATCTGAGGCCGTTTAAACCCTCATGTCATTATTAAATAAATATGCTGCCGTTCTGACGTGTCGACACAGAAGTGCCAGAAGCCAGTGATGTCATCGAGTCAAAAGTTTGCTCATAAGATTTATAACTAATCAAAACTTAAAATGACAAAAAAACTAATTGTAGCTCTCTTACAGAAAATAAAATGGCTTTAAATATGATATTTGTCCAGAGCAGCTGATGACAGAAAGGTGACTCCTGATTATGCCTCAGAGAGTTTCATGATCCATAAGTCTATTTATGTTCTGTAATGTTGTGATTTATGTGCATTGTAATAGTGAAACTGTATTTGGAGCCTTATGTATTTCTTTTGTTGATTCTCAGCTCTTGCTGTGAGGCAAAATATGTGTAGGAGCCATTACCTGCCTTGTGAACTCTGGGGAAGAATCAAGGACACTTTCTGTGGGGAAGGGACTCGTCTTTGTTTATGGACATTGAATATACAAAACTTAAAGTACTTGTATTTATTTGTTTATGGACATTGAAGAAACAGAGGTGAAACATGGTTTTTATGGACAATGGAAAAATACAAAACTGAAAATGTGTGGTTGGTCTTGTGTGGAAAAAATATGTTGTCATTCACTGTACCAAAGGGTCTACACCTTGTAGTGTACGGTTCTTGTGTGACCGGTAAAAAACAAAACAAACGAATACAAAAGTAATTTAAATTTGTTAATCCTAATTGTCAGGAGGGAAACCTGGCTTACACCCTTTTAATAGATAAAACTTTTGAAAACCCGTCACAACCTGTTCATGATGTGCAGCGGGCTTTGTTCTGAACAGAAGTACTAACATGCGCAGAGTGGTAACCTCTCCTTAAAAAAAAACACACAGAAGAAGTAGTTCTACTTCCGGTTTACTTCTGGGATGAACGTGGAGACGTTGCTGCACTCCCTGACTGAGCTACAGGTGACACAGATCATTTTGAGCTCTCTCAAAGTTTCTAGTAGAAATGTTGTCGCTCACCGACCAGTTCTGCTTCCCCAACATGCTAATATTATTAGCGTTAGCCACGCGGAAATGACAAAGTCGCACATGCGCAGTCAGGTCAGTTTTTCCACCATCAGATAAAAACGAACAGATCAAGCGTTTACATGGACACCGTAAATATTATGAATCTGCGTAAACCACCCGTTTCGTTCTGATCACAAATTATTTTGGATCACGCTGAACAAACAAAAAATAACCCGAACGAGGCGTTTACATGACGCGTTTTTATTCCGAACGGTCGTTTGATCCGGTTACTTACATCCATGTAAACAGTTGGTTATAGTCTCAGACGGAGCAGGTCACTCATGTTGGAGCAGCTATGAAGGCTACTGACCTTTAACACGAGAGGCGTTGGGGTCCTGACCATCATCGGTGAATCAAACGGGACAAAGTAACAATGACTGTAATTATGACCTGTAGTGTAGTTTTAAGGGTCATCGTAAAGCTATTTACAAAAGGACTTGTTTGTACTTTTAATGGAACATTAATGAGGGATTTTATTTTACAAAAAAGGCTAAATGTTTTATTTTTGTAATTAACACACACATTTACTTTACTAAACTATTGAATGCTCTGAACTCGAACAGTTTTGGTTGCATTTTGTTCAAACCTGTCAATACTCAAATGTACAGTACATTTATCTCATTTAGATAAAAACTTGTCATTATACCATAAAAACACTTAATTTACCATTTGTGAAAACCCCAGAGGAAATCTTTAAACACAGTATTTCACAAATAAGTGCTCCAGGTTACTAAATACAGCTTTTCAGCAGAAGTGAAACACAGCTGAAGGCTTGAAGCACCTTATATTTTGTACAACAAAGCATCAGCAAACAAGCTCGACATGGGCAGGAACCTCCGCGCTGAAGGAAAACGTGGGTGTGTGCGATTACAGAAATATTTCTGTCAATCAGTGACATGAATCACTGAATCCAGTCGGGCTCCTGTCACTGGAGCACAAGCTAACAAGAGATGGCTGATCTTGAGCTCGTTATTTACGCTCACATAATCGAGCGTAGGGCTGGGCGATATCCCAATATTTTTTAAATATCAAGATAATTTCATACTCGACATAAACAGAGACCATATCAATATAAAACAATATCTGTCCGCACCTTCACGCAGCCACTCCTCTCCCTCACCAAATACAACAAATGAACAAACTTCATTAGAATCAGACTTTCCTTATGTTTGCTCTGTATGTGTTCGGTTTAGATTTGAAGTGCACAGCTGTGCTTTTGGTTTTGTTATGCAGGAAAAAAACAACAACTTATTTTTGAGACATTTATTTTGTAGTTACAGCTGTTTGTTAATAAAGGTGCCTGTAACTGAGACTAAGCTTTGACTCAGAAATATATTTCTGCAGTGTTTCCCCTTCCATTATACAAGCGGGGCACCCCGCCCCGTCAACAGAACCGAGCACCCCGTCTACCTAACCCCACCCCACACCCCCACCCACCTGTCTGCACTGACGTAACGCTAAACTAGCGGCTCGCAATGCAGGTGCACTAGCTAAAAAGCTAAAGGCAGCCTCTTCCTTCACGCTGAACGCACCCCTGCCACTCGAAAACTGTCGGTACAAACAGCGCACGGCTCAGATGTGCGTCTCTCTCCGCCGCACCGACACCCCCCACCCCACCCTGGCCAAACCCCCCCCAAAACTGTCGGCCCAGACAGCGCGCGGCTGAGATATGCGTCTCTCCTCTCACACACCCTGCTCTAAAACTGTCAGTACAAACAGCACGCGGCGTCTCCGTGTCCCCAAAACTGTTGTTTAAACAGCGCGCTGCGCAGCTGAGAGCGAGTCTCCGTTCCAGCCCCACCCCACCAAAAAATCACGGACGAGATGAGCGCCCCACCACGGCAAGTTATTTAGGGGAAACACTGTTCCGTTATTATTTTATGGAAAGAAAAGAATGCTGAGATGGATATTGTATATCGCCATTCATCTTTGAAATATCGAGATATTAAGTTTGGTCCATATCGCCAAGCCCCAATACACACTTTAGATTTTATTACATTTATCTTCTGATAGTCTCTCAGAGATCAGAGCCCTACAAGCATTTAATCCTTTAACAGCCTTAATCTATGTCCACTGTGCATTTTGGACATTACCTGGAATTACAAAAACTTCTTACGTTGTATCAATCACATGCCATTTTAATGACAGATATCAGCAGTGAAGTGATACATGTTTAAATGAAATATGAAGTGCCTCTCAAGTTTTTCCTGATCAGCGTAGAACGAGATATTTGAGGGTGACTGATCGATGCATCTGAACAAAATTATTAAGGAGCGGGAAAAAGGGACAACTGGAACCAAATCATGTCCAACTGTAACTCGGACTTCACACGTGTTGTTGTGCATTTGCTGCCCTTCATTGACATCCTTAGAAAGTCAGTAAGTGGAAAATAAGCATGGAGCTAATTTTTCTAATCACTCATAACAAGCGAATGTAACTTGTTACAGATATTTTAGACTTCTCTCTGCTGACCTGTATGGTGATTTTCTATTGGCTCACTGAGACGTGTGTTATTAATATCAACAAATAATTCTCCAGAAGATTTGAAAGGAAACTGCAACTGAATTTAATCTCACAATGTGAAAGCTCATGTGCAAAAGAAAATACATTTGTGAACCAAATGTGAACAGAAACTATAGAAAAGTGGTGACAAAACTATTTGCTTATTTCTCCTAAACATCTCTAAAATTTTTCCTGAAAACACAACTGACATGAGCGAAAATCTGAATGTTTTTATGAAACTATGTTTCACAAAAACAACAGAAATTATTAGTCTTTCACAGCGGCCATATTTCAAAAACTAATTAGTAGCTGCAAACATCTACACTAAAAACAGTAACCATGAAAAATAAACAGGGACATTAAAAAAAATTACACATTTATGTCCACGACTGGTAGAAATTCCTGAAAATATTTATGAGTAATTGGTGACTACATATACAGTGGACAGTATGGTTTCTTTAAAAAAAAAAAAAAAAAAAAAATTTGTTTATGTAAATGCTGATTGTGATGGTTTGGGGTTGCCTAACAGTCAATACATTATTGGTAGGGGTGCACCGATAAATCGGCCCCGATTTCCTTAATTTTGGGAAATCGGCCGATACTTGCACGAGAAACCTGTTTTACAGATTTTTTTAGTTTTAACAAAAACGGTCTGAACTTCATTTATATTTCAGAGCACTACATCATGGCCAGTTAAAACAAGGTTGTATTGTTTCTAAGATATTGTTCAAGGGTATGTTTTTCAACAAAATATTGGAAAATTGAAGGTGCATTGTGACATAAGACCTGACAGTGTCGCTTTTTTTTCCTCCTTCTTTCGGCTGCTCCCTTCTTCAGAAGTCGCCACAGCAAACTGTCGCACAAAGACGTGGCAGTTATTTTTACGCCGGATGCCCTTCCTGCCGCAACCACAGACACCGAGCTACCACAGCCCTCTGTGTGGAGCAGAGAGCTGCTATATAGGACACCCGGAGGAGCAGGTGGTGGGGGTTAAGGGCCTTGCTCAAGGGCCCAGAGTGGGACGAATGAGAGTGGGGGCAGGTGTGGGTGCTTTACCTACCCCACCCACATTTTTGATGTCAGTACCGGGGCTTGAACCGGCAAACTTCCGATCACAGGCCCACCTTCTTTAACCTCTACGCCACCATATATATATTAAAAAACAAAATTGGTAGGTCAGACTTTTTAAAAATCAGTGATCGGCCAGAAAACTGCAATCAGTGCACCCCTAATTATTGGAGTATTTTTATTGTTTATTTGTGGGGTTTAGTGTCCCAAATCCAGTATCTGTGTTATTGCTGGACTAATAACACCAGATATTTTTTTTTATAAACAGGAAACTGGCTCAAGGAAAGTAAAGGCAATCTAGACGATGAACAATCTGGGACATCAGCAGCTGAATTCATAATACTGACACTGATGATATAAGTTGAAAGCAGTACTTTCACCATGCTGACTATAAGCAGATGACTTGTAAACATATTTAATAATTGTTACCACTTGTCACGTCCTTACCCTGTGGAAAAATACAGAATAAGCAGGACTCCTACCTCTGATTTGTACAAAGCAGTCCTGGTTGGTACATGTGCCCAAGAATCGCTCCATTCATCTTTTTTGCAACGGGCAATGTAGACTATCTTGGATTGGTTTTAAAAATGTTCATTATTGACCCAATAGTGAATCATGAAAGCACACATAACCAGAATCATACGCTCACCTTCAGATGGATGCTCAAACCCACAGTCAATGATGGCTCGGAGCAGCTCTGGTTTGAGGAGGAAATCCCTGAAGCCGGAGCTGTGGATGGACACATAGGACCCTTTCACCTCCTTCTTCCCTGCCGGGGTGGCACTCTCTGGAGCTCCTTGGGGCTCTTCATCTTCTTCATAATCGAGCAGCTCGTTATCAACATCATTCTCAGCCATTGTGTTGTGTGTATTTCTCTGGAACACAAAAACACTTTGTATATCATTTTAGAAACCTCCTTATTTATTGTTAGCAACAGTGGTGATGCCATACATGTCTGCATTTCTATCGGTAGTGATATTAGCTCAAAGGTTGACTCAACTACGCGCAAAAGTTGCATTATACCCTGATGCTCCAGTTAGAACATTGTAGAGCTTATGAATTACACTTGTGGAAAATAACACAAAAATCTTGAAATACTATTAGTTTGGAAGTCGACTGTAGGAAAAACGCCTTCTAAACATTTAACACAGTTACAAGCAGTTAAGGTAAAAAGTTAATCGACAGCGAAGAACCGGTTCTCGGCTAGTATGAAACGGCGAGAAGCCATTGTGTTGCATAATGGCTGCTAACGTGGCGAGCTAACTCCTGAACAAAAAATACTACACAATTAAATCACAAGACGTCTAAAGTATACCTGCATCATGAGTAGGTAATAATAAAAAGCTATGCTAAGAGGTTAGCAGAAAACCCACTTATTTTTTTATTCAAATAAAAAAAGCATAAGGAAGTCTGGCCGATACGCGAAGCTAGCTGCTGCTAGGCTACTTAACCTTAGCTTCCACCTGCAGCTCAAACTAACAATGAAATTATGTCTGAAACGGACAGTTTTTTATTAAATCCAATTAAACATAACCCTTAACTTACAGGGCAACAAAGCGCGTTGGAAAACGCTACAAAACGTCAACAGTTAAGCTGAAATAAACCACTTACTATTACGGTTTTAACTCCGGATCAAAAGCGCATGGAGAGGCCTCAGTTGACTTATACCCCCAACCGGAAGTTCAGCCCTTACAAAAAATGAACTGACATGATTGGTGGACTTGTTCAACCGCAGCTCATGATTGGTCAAAGTGCCTGCAGCTGTCCCTCGTGGTCGTAAAAGGCGGGATTGAATGACGCTACGCTCAGGGTATGGGAGCTCGTAAAGGACATTAAAAGTCAAAGTTTATTTACGCATACTGTCCTGAACAGAATGCATGTTAACAAAAATAGAAATGTTTCGTCTTTCATTCAAAAGACTTCTTCAGTCTGAAGAACTGTATTCAGCTCAGTCTTATATAGCACCTTCTCATAGTGAACCAAAGGGATGCTTTTTTCAAACAGGAAGTCGGACCCAGCAGTTCTTCCTCCAATTTTATTTTCAAATGGTGTCCCTTTTGAGTTTGTCGATTCCTATAAATATTGGGGTATCTTGGTCAACTTGCATATCTCTTTTAAGCTTCACGTGGAAAACCTAGCAAGGAAACTGAAAGTAAAATTGGGTTTCTTTATCAGAAATAGATCCTGTCTAACTCTGAATGCTAGGAAATAACTTGTAACTGTGACTTTCCTTCCCTTCATTGACTACGGTGACATTAAATGAACGCTCCTACAAGAACCCTGCAGATGTTGGATGCTGTCTATCATGGTGCACTAAGATTTATAACTGGCTGTAACTACCATACCCATCATTGCATCCTGTATCCACTGGTTAACTGGTCATCATTAACTTCACACAGACTCTCCCACTGGTACATTTTCATCTTTAAATCACTTCTTGGTCTGCTGCCTTCATACATCTCCTCCTACATGTCTCTGTGTGAGTGCAGCTACAGCGTGCGCTCTCAGGACATTATTACCTGCAGTGTTCCCTCAGTGAGGTCTGAACTTACTTTCCTCTGGTATCAGATGCTGTGCAGCTAAGGATTTTTACTGAAACTTTTTTAGTTTTGGACATTTGTTATGATGCGTAACCATGGCAACAAGGCAGTTTTCTACAACCAACAGCAGCTGATTAACATCTCAAAAGCTCAAGTAATATCTCAACTACAGCCCTAAATCTCAAATGAGTTGAAAAGGATGTTCTGTGGACGCATTCTCATCTACCTGCCAGCTGTGCTCGAGGGCCTGACCACTGAGATCCTGGAACTAGCAGGAAACATGGCTCATGACAGTGGAAGGACAGAATAGTCCCTCGGCACCTACAGTTGGCTGTCCGCAGCGATGAGGAGCTCAGCAGACTGCTGGGAGGAGTGGCCATCACTCTGGGAGGAGTTCTACCCGGCATTCAGGCGGTCCTACAGCCCGGGGGAACCGAGAGGCCAACCGAGTCTGGGTGGACGGATCGGACGGCATCTGCAGCCAGATTCTTAGGATCCACTGTGGGATGGACCTTTACAAGAGATCCTTCCTGTCTACAGCCATCAGTATCTAAAACATCTCTTAATGAAATGAGGATAATGAGTTACAACAACAAATAATTTCCCTCTGGGATTAATAAAGTATTTTTGAATTTGAATTTGAACTTGGCTTTCTCCTACTCCGCTCCTGTTTCCTGAAATATCTTGCAAAAAGATCAGAAGCTCTCGACCTTGACCTCTCTAAGTGACTTTAAAACATCTGTTAAGTTCCTGGAAAACAAAAACAATGCAGACATGTTCCTGTTTTTAGTTTTCTAAATTGCCTTATAATCTAGCTGCTTTTTTTGTTGTTTTTTCACTACTATTCCTCTTGATTGTCCTTTTGGTTGCTATTTTGTTTTTGATTTGTTAAAAAAAGGAGACATTTAAAATTGTATGTCTCTTTTGTGATTGCATATTGTTGTCGTTGTTATCCACTGTTGTCATCACTTTTTAAGAAATTGTGTCTCTCTTGTAAATGAATCCCCGAGGCTCAATGGGATTAACCTGTCTAAATAAAGACTTACAAGACTCTTAGACTCTACAACCGTCACTGTTCCCAACAAACTCAATAAGGATTAAATACATGCTGACCTCTGCTAAAATACTCACTCTGCCTATAATACTGCACTGTAAATAGTCTGCCAATATCAATGTCCCAATACATATTGAACATTATTATTGATATTGTTTATCTTTGTTCTTATATATTGTATTGTTTATTAACATTTAGGAACTTTTGTGTGAAATCTTTTTATCTTTTTATCTGTTGCTGCTGTTACACTTGAATTTCCCATCTGTGGGACAATAAAGGCTGTTTCTATTCTATTCTATTCTAAAGGTTGAATGAAAGTGGATCAACCAGTTTGTTGTTGGGAATAGCAAGCAACCATCAGGGTGCTAACGATTAGGCTGATGGTCCTTCTTGACCATGTGAGCAGCTGGTTTTGGTTGTCAGCAGCAAAACTGGTTGATCCACTCTGAGAAGGTGCTATTTAAGAGACTGAGCTGAATACAGCACCTCAGACTGAGGAAGTCTTTCGGATGAAAGATGAAACGTTTCTACATTTTTTTTGTTTCTGGAACCCGTCCAGAGGACGAAACTTAACTTTGTTGGATTTTTTCTACCTGGATTATTGAGCATGCATCAGGATATTTATTCATACAGGTTAGTCTCATTGAGTCAGGAGGACTCATTTTCAAGAGACCTGTTTGGGAGCAGATGGTGGGGGTTAAGTCCAGAGCCTTGCTCAAGGGCCCTGAGTGGGACAAATGAGGGTGGAGGCAGGTGGGATTGTTTCACCTTTTCCACCCACATCTTTGATGTTGCTGATCTGGGGAGTCCAACCGGCAACGTTCCGATCAGGCCCACCTTCTCGAAATATCAAGAAGTCCCGCTCATACCCAGAACATAAAACGAGTGAAAGCAAATTCACCTCTGATTTTCAATCTGCATCTGTGTCCAAACTGCGCTGATTTGCACATGGAGAAGTCCAGACCTATAAGGTGTTACCACACACATTACGATACTTTGAAACAAATAATAAAATTTACCACTGGATCCTGATACTGCACCGTATATGATCAGTTTGAAACGAGCAAATGAACACAAGATAATCGTGTTTGTTTTTCTGTAGTTAGAAAATGAAACTTTCTCCTTTCGTACTAGTGATGCAAACAAGACAGCAAACATTTCCTAAAGTTATCAGTAATGATATCATTCTTGTGGTATTCTAAACTGACTTTTAAAAGTGTAATAATTTACACATTTATAGAACAACACACTTGTTTTGGTATGTAACATTTTCATTAAAAGCCAAAGTGGCTTGTGCTGAGGAATAACACCATGAGGTGCAGACTGCTTACTGGTGTCCCAAAATATAAAATAAAAACAACAAAAACAAACAAAAAGAAAAACTGGAAGGGTTTAAAATATTAATAGATTCAAATACATAAAAAATAGACTCAAAACTCATTAATTTTTCTAACCATTCATTGTTATGTTGCAAACATTTATGTAAATGTACTTGGAAGGTAAAAAACGAACACACTTGTTTTACATTATTATTGTGCTCCAAACTCTTATAAAACAAAGAAAAACACAAAATACTCAATATCCAAAAATGATACTTTATGATTTTGAATGATACTTTTCTAACAAGTAAATGTTATTAATCAAAGTTTAAGTTTTTTCTTTTCTTCTACACATGCTGTTTAAAATAGCCTGTCCCCATTTAGTGTAAAATAGAGAACGCCATGGAAGCTTCAGGGCTGGGATAACGTGTGACTGCCCTGTTCACTTTACAGGCAACATTTGGTTGAACCATAAAACATTTTTCAAGACATGCCTTTGATTACAAAACACTTAAAAGTATTTAGTGATTTACATAATACCACAAAACCACCATACAAGATGCTGCCAGTGGGAGTCATTTTGGAATCACACATTTAGAGCGAAATGAACTGAAAACCTGGTAATTTTAGTGGGCAACAGACTCCATCATAAAAAGCTCCACCAATATCACCACTGATGTTTATATTTGTGATTCTGGAGCTGAAGAGAAACGCCACTGTGTAGGAGAGAAATATGGGAAACTGTCCGACTCTGGCCGGGAGCGAGCCTCTGCACGAGTACCACTGGTAGTGTAGGACTGGCTCAGGAAATCTCTGACGTGGGGAGGTAAGGAAAGAAATAGCCAGTTTTCAACCAGCAGTCCTCCTCCACATAGCCCCAGACAGCAGCCCAGCTCAGCAGGCAGCTCATCCAGACTATTGCTGCGTAAATCCAACCTGCAAAGGCGACTTAAAGCTGCGATCCCACAGGGCAATGAACCAAGAGAGTTGCGAGCCACATTTAGGACCTGCAGCTGTAAGCAGCTACTAAAGAGATCAGAGGGGAGGGTCTCTAACCTGTTCCCACTGAGGTCCAGTTCTGTCAGCATCTGCAACGCCTTTACCTCAGAGGACAGCTCAACAAGCAGGTTACCAGCCAGCAGGAGCCTACGAAGACGACGAAGAGTAAAGAGCGCTGGTGGAAGACTCTTGAGCTGGTTGGTGGACAGATCCAGAATTTCTAGGCCTCGAAGAACACCAACGCTGTTTGGCAGCGCTAGAACATGATTATAGGCAAGTTTAAGGCAAGAAAGATGGCGCAAGTCAACCAGACTAAGCAGCTCTTCTAGTGTTCTCAAGTTGTTATGCTGCAAGTTGAGAGTCCGCAAGCTGGTGAGAGCTAGCAGAGCTGAGGGCAAACGCTCCAGCTGGCAGTCCTGCAGCTGCAGCTCTGTCAGGTGGACCATGCGCTTCAGGCCTGTCAGCACAAGTAACCTTGTGCCCTCGTTATGGATCTCTAGTGTCAACAAACTGCCAGCCACCTCACACAACTCCGCAGGGATCCGCTGTAACAAGCCTCGAATCACCAAAACACGAAGATTACCAAGTCGACGCAGGCTCCCCAGGGCCCAGCCGCGACCCACGCCACCCTCACTGTTCAAACGACCGGAGAGGTGCAGCTCACGCAGACTGTGAAGGGAGAAGACCCAGTTGGGGATTTGCGATGGTTGAGTGAAGGTGAGCTGAAGGACCTCCAGACGTTCCTGTAGGACTGCTAGAGCTCTGGAATCCACAGATGGAGAGCAGTGGTAGAAGTGGAGCTCCCTGTAGTTGGAAAAACACAACGAAAGGTTAAAAAATATCAAAGCCAACACTGTAATGTGTGTGTAACCAAATGCAACTCGGTCTCGTCCAACTCACCTGAGTGAAGTCATGTTGTGCATTTGTGCAGTAAACCTGGCATCAGCAATGAACTCCAGTTTGAGGACCCGCAGCTGGGTGAGCGTAAAAACAGCTGAAGGAAGGCGAGGAAGGGCCACCAGCTGCAGTCTGGAGCAGCCATCTGCATCCACATTTGTCATGGCACGCAGTTTTTCCTCCCCCCAACGCCTCTCAAAGCTCTCCTCCAGCAACCTGTTCTCACTCACCGGGGACAAAAAAACGGAGAGACGCTGGGCCAGTAAGGGGTTGTACTGGTCCAATATGTGCATAAGAAAGGCCAAGTCATTCGTCAGGTCTGGGACATCTCTTAAGGACTCAGACTTCTTTTCTTTCTTGTGAAAGGAATAATGCTGAAGAGAGCTGAAAATAAAAAAGAAGGAAGGAAAGAAAAAGCAAACAAACAAACAAACAAAAAAACACAATGAGAAACATGTGAATAAGAATCATTTGTATGAGCTGTATTGAAGTTGAGATATTTAGCACCTTCAAATGCTGGCTATTCTCAAAAGCAATGGGATGTGGAGATGCAGTAACTACAGATGGCTGCTTGGTAATACCAATACTTCAATAAAGTAAGGATTTTGATGTCGTTTTCCTGGAAAATAACTTTTCACTCTAAGCATTAACCCAATCACTCCACAGCAGTTTATAGTGAAGCTGTCTTTAATTGGAGTAAACGGCTGTTAACTGGGTTGTTGACTTGTTGTCATATTGACATCAGGTAGTATGTGTCAGCAGAAAGACAACAAACTCAATCAAACAGAGCACTGGGGTCCTTCGAGGATGTGTGTTTGGTCCTTCACTCTTTATTCTGCTGACACATGACTGCACTGCTTAATTTAGATGGGGGTGGTGCTTTACTGAATGGTAAGTCCTGGAATAGCATTGTTTTATGGTTTAGTCGAACAAAAATAAAATCATTGTCCAGATGCATATTTCTGAATATCACGTTCTGTTACTATGGATAGTTGTAAGTCACGTGACCCACTAACTACCCTGACGGGCCAAACATTATGGTACACAACGATGATCTGGAGTTATAGTCAGTGAGGATCCACAACTTCTCCTCCACCATAACCCTCAGCACGGGCTCCCCTCAGGGCTGTGCGCTGAGCCCTCTCCTGTTCACTCTGCTCACGTATGACTGTGCACCTACCCATCCAGACTGTCACATTGTAAAGTTTGCAAATGATACAGCAGTGGTGGGATGTATCACAAACAATGATGAGTCCAGCTACAGGCAGGAGGTGGAACACCTGGAGAACTAGTGCAAGAATAACCTTTACATCAGTGTGAAGGAGACAAAGGAGATGGTTGTGGACTTGAGAAGGAACAAACACACCTACGCCCCCCCCCCTCCTCTCTTCCGACACACACAGGAGGATCTGCGGTGGAAGTGGTCTCCAGCTACAAGTACTTGGGTGTACACATGAATGACAACCTCAGATGGAGCAACAACACCACCAGCCTGATGAAGAAAGCTCATCAGAGACTCTACTTCCTCAGACGGCTGAGACGAGCTGGTCTGTGAAGCTCAGTCCTCACCTCCATCTACAGGTGTGCAGTGGAGAGCATCCTGTGCTCCAGCATCAACGTGTGGCGTGGAGGCTGCACAGGTGCAGAAAGAAAAGCTTTGCAGAGAGTGGTGAAGGCTGCACAGAAGCAAGGGCGTCAGAAGCATCCGTAATGTGGGGGTGGACACAATGATGTAGGTGTGTGTGTGTGTGTGAGTGTGTGTGTGTGTGTGTGTGTGTGTGTGCACGCGTGCGTAAAAACGTGTACACTAGTGAACAAAAAAGCAACATTTCACCTAGATTTCTTTTAATTCCACACATTTTAAGTATGTTTCTCACCAAGTTTGTGTAAATTCAGCTGTGGGTTTTAAAGACATTTCAACTTTAACACACAGCCTCAGGTCGACCCTATTTGTGCTTATAGAGAAATAAAAAACATCACCACTGGACTTTTTTACATGCGTTCAACACTACTCATCTAAATTATGTTTCTCATGAAGCTTGATGACAATAAGGTGTGGGGTTTTAAAGACATTTCAACTTTAATGCACCTGAACACAGCGTCTCTGACACCTGCAGCGTCTTACAGCGTCACAGTTACTGCTAAGCTAACATGCTACAGACGTAGCGCTCCACTCAAGCATCCTCCTAACTAGGGATGCACTGATCCACATTTTTTAATTTCCGATCCGATCCTGATACCTAAATCTGAATATCGACCGATGCCGATCCAGTTCCGATATCATGATCATCATTGATTTTATATGGAGGCTGTAATAATCTCCTCTTAAGTACAGTTTGTACAAATATATGCATGCATGTCCAAAAAGGCAACTTGAGATAAGTTTTATTAATGTTGGCTAAGTTTTAAAGTTAGAATTAAATTCTGCTAACACAAAACATGTTTTTTTTTTTATTCCTAGCTTTAAAGTGGATATTAAAGTGATTATTTTTAAGTGATTGTTTAAAGTTATTTTATATTTTTTTAAGTAAGGGGCAGAGATATAATTTTTTTCTTCTTTCTGTACTCTTCATTCAATGTTTAGTTTTTGATTAAATTGTTTTGTTTATTTTGTTTCTTTTAAATTAATGAAGAAATGAATTAAATAGGGCAGCACGGTGCCACAACTGGTAGAGCTGCTGCCTCTCAGCGAGAAGGTCCTTGGTTCAAACCCCGGTCCAGGGGCCTTTCTGGGTGGAGTTTGCATGTTCTCTCCGTGCATGCGTGGGTTTTCTCCGGGTGCTCCGGTTTCCTCCCACAGACCAAAAACATGCATGGTAACTCTAAAATTGTCCCTAGGTGTGAATGAGAGAGTGAATGGTTGTTTGTCTCGTTTGTCTCTATATGGCCCTGTGATGGACTGGAGACCCATCCAGGGTGTACCCCGCCCCTCGCACAGTGATTGCTGGATATGGGCACCGGCGACCCCCGTGACCCAAAATGGAACAAGCGGGTAAAGATAATGGATGGATGGATGAATTAAATAAAATAAAATGTTAAATGGCTTTAAACATCTGCTAAGTTTGTGGCATAAACCAACAGACATGTTCCTGTTTTTAGTATTTTACATCACTTTATAATGTAGCTGTTTTTGTTTCGTTTTTTTTTTAATATATATAATTTTCTTGTAATTTTCAATTCATATGTTTTTTTAAGATTGTCTACTGTTGTACTGATAAATATCGCCTGGAAGGTAAACTATGTAGTGAACTAAGCCTCAGGTCAAATCCTGACCTTGAGGGCCTTCCTGGGACAAGAACTGTATTTCATTGATTTGAGTCCAGAAACACAAGATTAAGTTCATCCAGAGACTTTCTAAGTGTGTCCTGCACTGATCAATTGAAAGAACACTCTCTTTTTCTATTATCATTACTATCTTACAAATGTCTTGATAATCAAAGTGTGTTTAGTTCAAACCATTTTTAAATGTTGAAGTGAACTACTCATTTTAAATCAACTGTGAAACAGTATTAGTGATTTTTAATCCTCATTCAAAGTAGAAATCAAGTTAAGGTCTGTTACAGAGTAATTATGCATTTTCTGATTTTCTGTCTGAAATAAGCAAGTGTAAGTTGGTCCAAGGTTGGAGTCAAACGCAAACAAGTTGTTGGAACGAACTGTCATGTTTTTAAATCCTCTCAGACGTAAATAGAGAAGCTGGCACCTGTTTTCCCCCAACTCGCCTAAACATTTCTCTCGTCTGTCTCAAAAACATCTTCTGTCTGTTCCAAAACAATTTTTCTGTTTTTCTGACTTCTAGTGACCTCTTACGTCATAAAAACACACCCCTGATTGGCTATTTCAGCCAATCAGAAGTTCCCAAATGAACCGGAAACAGAACTCTTTAAATGTCGGCACTTCCTAGTTCCAGTCGAGTGCGGTGGGAGAGCAGTTCAGTTCGGAGAGCAGAACCGAACAGAAAAGTGCTGGAGAGAACAGGAGGTTCAGACATGATCCGCAGTTCTTCCGAGTCTTGTGGGAATTATGCAATCTTCCACATCTGAGTGGAACTCTGACGGACTCACAACTCATGTGAGCCCAACCGAGAGGTGAACGTGTGCTGCACTAAGTACCGTCACTACTCCAGACGTTTCCCAACCATCCTACGGAGACGCTGGAAATGGTAGCGTTAAATGGAACTCCGTACCAGCTGATTCATCTTCAGAGAGGTAACGAGTCGATTTCCTACCGAAGCGTACCGGGACGAAACTGGGTTCGGATGGAGAGTGCCGTTCTTATACCGACACATAACAACCCCTCATCCATCTTCTCTCTCTTTAAACTCCCTCAATTTCCCATCTTTAAAACTCTTCTATCTTGCCAGTAATCATCCAGATATTTTCAGAAATGTCTGTTGGTTTAAAGCAAGGGAAATCATGGCCGTATGGTTTCCTAATTGTAAAGCTTGCTAATTAATTATGTTGTTGTTGAAATCAATTTGCCAAATTAATGTAAATGTTTGATGTTAAACTTTGATTCTGTTAATAAATGACCGCATTCATTTGATGGGTCAAAGAAAATTAACGTCTCACGTTACATTTAATTATTCAATGCACGATATTATTCAGTCCAGAAAAATGAAAGAATCCGTTTAATTTATGGATAATATATCACATGTATATGTTCCTCTACAACTATATCTTGGCTGCAAGTATCAAGCTGAGAAATCCTTTGTTTTCTACAACTGATAGTGGTTGGTCATTAATTACGATGAAGTTTAGCAACTTCTCAGTAAACATTCGAGCTCCAGGGCTTCAGTGATGTCTTCTTCTTGTTCAATCCGAAGCAAGCAGTCTGATTTCGGTCAGCCGTGCTCAGTCTGCCCCTCCTCAGAGACGGGCAGACTGAGCGGGGCAGTCTGGACTCGGCAGGCCGGGGTCGAGTTGCCTGTTTCGGGTTCAGCGAGAGGAGCAGACCGCTGAAGCCAGGGAGCTCGAATGTCCAACGTAAAACTAACTTTACCGCGGTTTAATGTGGCGCTATGGCTCTGCAGACATTGCACGATGCTGTCTTGTTTTGTGGTGTTTCTAGTGTAAAATACTTCCACACAGCGGACATGTTTAGATGAAAAGTTTGTTAGCTGTTAGCTACAGTGCTGCTAACTCAGTCCTCACGTTGTAGCTGGCTGCAAACTATGAAATGGATTTCCTGAATGTGAGACGAGTCTTATTACTCTGGGTTCATGAGACACGCCTCCATTCAGGAAATCCATTGAATAGTTTGATGCCAACATGCATCATGGATCGGAAATCTCTGCAGGTTGGATCGGAAAAATTCGATACGTAAATTATGCTGGTTTTGGAGCCCGATACCGATACCGGATCGGATCGGCCTCATCCGTACTCCTAACATCAATATATGCTTATGATCAACCCCCAGGTCAACAACTGCCTGCATTAAGCTTGCTAAGCTGGTGAGTGAGCAACATAGAAGTGTCTCCACCTCCTCCACCTGTGCGCTTTTTCTGCCGAGGCAAGAGACTCTGCAGCCTGCTGCCTGCACAGTTTCTGCTCTGTGTCAGAGTTGGAGGTAACCAGAAAAACCTGGAGTGGAGTTTTAGTGGTTTGAGTATTCTCCTATTAATCAAGTGGAATGGATTCGTTCACGAAGAAAGAGAAACTGCGCCGCCTGAACTAATGTTTTATAGTAAAAGTGGGGGGGTCCAAATTAATATTTTATTAATGTGGGGGGACACGTCCCCTTCACATATAATGGTTGCGACGCCTATGACAGAAGTCTGTTGGAGTCAGCCCCCCCACCATCACAGACATCTACACCTCCAGATGCAGGAAGAGAGCCACCTGCATCATGAAGGACCCCACTCATCCCGCACACACTTTTTACCCTGCTCCTCTCAGGAAGGAGGTTGAGGAGCATTAAGTTTAGAACCACTAGACTGAGGAACAGCTTCTACCCTGAGGCTGTTAGACTCATGAATCTTTAACCAGAACAATCACTGTGAAAAATCACATCATGTTGCTGCTGATCTGTTTCATGTTGCTGCTGATCTGTTTCATGTTGCTGTGTTCATTCGTGCTCATCTGCTCACACAGACTCATGTTTGTGCTGCTTTTCAGCGTATTGTTTTTATGCTACTACTAGTGTATATTTAGTTGATGCTTTTCTTAGTTCATATCTTAGATCTTATTATCGTTTTTCTTTTACATTTTATTGTTGGATGTGACTGGGACCCCGTGTACACAATTTCGTTCCACTACATGTACCACATGTGGATCAAATAAATAAAGAAACTCTAACTCTGACTCTAAATAATGCTGTCGTGTTAATTATTGTGTTAAGGTGAAGAACCAGGAAATGTTGACAGCCATGGGAGTACACATCTTTGTAGCAAACATTTGATCAAAGGTAAAATTATGATGACTTTATGGTTTTTGATTCAGGTGTTTAGTTCTGTGATTTTGTTGCTATGGTTGTATGTAATGAAGATTAGTGGATGAGCTTTAATAACATAATGAGATAGTGTTGAAAACATGCTAATGCTAAGACAAGCTAAATGCTGTCAACATGAATGCAGGAAGCTTTTTGCTACCAACAGAAATGAATTCTGCTTCTGAGGTCAAGTCTTTACACGACTGTTAGATAATTTGGGCCTATTTAAACAGCTATCTTGGCATCTTTCATTTTCATTAATAATAGAAATAATAAAGCAAAACTTTTCAGTATAAACACAGCTATCAAAATATTTATCACAGGAATTTGTGCCCATAATGCAGAGAATGTGTGAATTGCCCCACAAAATTTTCTGTAGGCAGATTCAAAATATAAAGTACTGAAACTCACCAAAATACACCAAAATATGACTAAAGAATATGTGTATAACTATAAATACATGTCACGGAAGGTGTCTCATGTGCTCTCAGTTCCAGTTAAATTTTGTGTGAAGGAACGGTGCACAAAAATATGCATGCACAAGGTTTGACAAATCTGAATATTTTGATACATATGCCCTTTTTAAATTTTGCACATAACCTAATATGTAAGAAAGCTGTGCGTTATTTCATGCCTGAATCCCTTAGAGTCTAAACACCATGCACAATACATACATACAATTCATGTATCAAAGTATATCTATTTTTCCCTTTTAGATGCAGAAATGATCAAGAGTGCATCCTTATATTTTCATTCACTTGCATTGAGTTCTGACCTGTGAAAAATCCAACTGAGTGTGTAGAAGTTGAGAAGTCCAAACAGCCCCAAGAGGGTCAGGTAGGCCAGTAGCAGTTTGTGCATGAGTGATGACAGCACATGGATGCACTCAAAGGTTGCGTAGCCAACGAAGGTGTCATCCTCAAGGTGACAAATGTGGTTAAAGGAGAGGGAGCTGAGGAAAGGGACTGTGTAACTCAGGATCAGAACTGCCAACAGCAGTTTGGAAATTGTTTGAGTCAAGTAGACCTGAAAATATAAAACTGGACTTAATGGGAAGTCTGGCAATGTTAGATTAGAAATTTACCTTTGTGCACAATAAAGCAGAAAGAAGTTCACTTACCTTATAAATCACAACTGAGCTTTCACAGTGAGACCGAAATTTCCGTACTCTTTCAAACAGTGCTCTGGCCTGTTCCCCGTCACTTTTATCCAGATTCATGACCTGCCTGGATCTGTTCACCATCGCCAAGGCCTTGGGAGGACAAACACTAACTTCAGAGCCAAGAGATAAATAAGACATGGTGGAGTTACATGAGAGAGTAGAGGGGCAAGGTGATGGTGGAGCTGTTGATCTTTTAATCAGTGGGCGGTCTGTGCCTGAGTCTAGGGTTGAACATTGTGAGCAGGTAAGTCGGGGTGAGGAGGAACCTGAAGGTGGGGGAGGACTCCTAACCCCTTGGAGGTTTTCCTGTCTGACAGCATGAGTCAGGGCCTGCGATGTCCAGGGAGACTCACAGCATTTGGCTAAGATGGACAGGAACTGTTCTATGCGGGAAGATGTTGGCGGGAAGTGCAGCCAGAAGGAACCACTGGCCACCAGCACCAAAGACTGCAGCAAGGCCACATAGGGGAAGAAGCGAGAACACAGAGGCAAAGCCTGGTAGCACACCTGAGAGACAGATATAAACACAAAATATTACCCACACCGAGGGGGAAAGTGCCAAAAAACAGTTGTTACATTTTAATTATTGCCTGCGGCGATGAAAGGTTTTGTAAATTTTTAACTTCCTGTGAAACTCTAAAAGTATTCACTGGATGCACATCTGCAACTGAGTCAGATCAATACAAGATGACTTCCACAAATATATATATATATATATATATATATATATATATATAGATATATATATATATATATATATATATATATATGTGTGTGTGCGTGTGTGTATATGTAAGCCACTGGGATGTTGTGTTTAGAAAATAAACGTCTCAGTTTCTCTGATACTCCCTCAACATATGGAATGACCACTGGTCTGGGTCTGGGTTCCTCCTTTTCACCTGTTGGCTGACTGGAGTCCTGTTTGGGTTTCTTCTCTGCTTTCAGGAAGGCCCAGTTAGGATATCCACATTGCTCTAGAGCCTGTCTTGTGTGGGATTTCTCCTTCTGCCTGGCTCATGAGCTAGTGGGGACGCTGTCTGCTCTGTGGTACAGAGTCCTGATGACTCCTAACTTGTGCTCCAAATGGTGATGGGAGTCAAACTGCAAATACTGGTCTGTGTGGGTGGGTTTGCAGTACACCTCAGTTTGCAAATGTCCTCTATCAGAGACTGAGACCTCACAGTCCAAGAAAGCCAACCTGCCATTTTTTTAAATCTTCTCGTGTGAACTTGATGCATTTATCCACAGAGTTGATGTGGTCAGTAAAATGTTGGACTTCCTGAGATTTAATTTTAACCCAGGTGTCGTCAACATACCTGAACCAATGACTTGGTGGTGTCCCTGAAAAGGA